TGGAATTTACTATCGCTTTAAGATAATCAGCCTTAAGAATCTTAGAGGTACCTGTTTTAAGAAATAATGGGGAAGTTCTAAGCAAAGGAAAACAACAACAGCTGGAACCTTGTTGGTTACTGTAGTAAGTTGCACTGAAGGAGGCCCACCAAATCAGTGGAGATGTGGTGAGAAAACTCCTTTGTAAATGCCATTGATTCCAATGGGCCTACTCTTGTGGCAACTTAATACATTGTGATAGGATTTCAGCCAAGGCGTTGTGTGGCATCTCTGATTCTAACAGATTTGTTATCGTGTGAGCTTTAGTGGACACACAGCCCACTTTGTGTCCATGCAACTCTTGTTGCTATGAAGATGGTAGTCTTAAAGGTGCCAGATGACTCTGTTCTTTTGCTACAGGTGAGTAAGGATATAACCAGATGAGTGCTTGCTTTCTGTTTGTCCCATCTGCCTCATTTCAATATATTCTCAAACAATTGACAACGTTATTGCTAATTCCAAATAGATTCAATCTTTCTGCATTAATATTGCCTACATTTTGTTCAGCTCTCAGTGCTCTTTTTTCAAAAATGTTGTGTTTCTTATCCCTTCCCCCCCCCCTCCCCAAAGAACTATTGTGTGCGAATAATTTTTTCAGTCCTTCTGGGATGAATTGAATTGTTCTTCCCAAGTTTTTTCTCCTCCGCTGTGAGAAAGAGAAATAGCAATAATAACCTTTGAACTGCAGAGCTGGACGGGACTCTATGGATCAACAAGTCCAGCACCTGTTAAGGAGGCACAGTGGGGAATTGAACTCCCAACCTCTTACTGTGTAGTAGAGACTTAAGCCGCTGAGCTATCCAGCAGTGGCAATATTTCCTCCTGTTATTGAGAAGAGTTCTAAAGTTTGTAAAAATTATGCTTTGTAGACATTGTACAAATTTAGGAAACTGTAGTCTTATTGCATGGACTGCTTAAAGTCAGAAGCACTTGGTGGGCTATTTGCATCTTTTTGATCAATCAGCCAGTCCTTCTGTGTTGTGAGCTCGGGGTGTGTGTATGTGTGCTTTGGTTCAAAAAGGGGAAAAATCCCTCATTTTGCCCAGAGACATTTTGCACAAATTGCAGGAATTTAAATGAACTTCTCTGTCTCATTTGTATGCTGAAGACATGAAATCTTGTGGGGGGGGGGCAGCGATTTCTTCACAGTCTGTCTCACTGACAATGAATAATTCTGCAAGATTTTGTCATATCGCTAATTTGATTTGCTAATGTAGTTAATGCAGGTGAAGTTAATGAAAGCTTAAATATTATCTACCTCATCCTGGTATTTTTAACAGTACTCTTGTGAATCAATTCCACTCTACTTCTTAGATTAACATTTTGTCTAGATGGAAAATTAGCACATTCCAGTGGTTCTGTAAGTGTAGTCATTAATTATTTCTTAAAGATTGCAGGAGGCTGTCTACTTGTACTGACAGAGGGAGAGTTCTGATTAAGCTTCACCTGTAAAATTTTTGGTAGTATGAAAGAAATTTTAAACAATGCATCCTCTGCACCAGTGGGGCAATCAAACAATATATAATGTTTCAGAGCCATGGGGATGCTAGGCTGGTAATTCAGTCTAGATATTAGGGACAAGATGTCTAAATAGTAGAGTTGCTGCAGATTAACAATATTTTAGACTGAAACCCTCTGTAAAAAGGGTTTTATTTTTTTACAGAATTACTTGTCTGTTGCTGCTATTACATGTAGCGATATGCATGGACAGCAGGAATTAATGTTTCTAAATGTAGACTGCTGATAACCTAGATATAAGTTCAGTGTTTTACGAGCCATTAAGTGTCTTTTATGTTCATTAAGAAAATCAGTACATTTTCAGTTATCTTTCCAAAATCTGATTTCTCTACAAAAATGGGGGGGAAAGCCCCATCCGCTCCACTGATTAAAACATGGCTTAAATCTTACAACTTAATTAATGCCCAGTCTGAATCTCAAGAATGTTGATTAGAAACCTGTTGTTCCAGGCTCAGTCTGATGGAAATAACAAGTGGACCATATGAGGAAAGTTGGTGTAAATCTATAGTAGTATGTGAAGATTACTATCTGCCTTGTGACCTTTGGTACCTAAGGAGTCCACAGAGGGAGAAGCTCCCATTCGGAACACTCCACCCCATGCTTGTATGGCTGGCATCTGAGGCAGTGTGTGATGGGAAATGAGAGACAGAGGATGCCAGAATCATCCAGGGGTCAAACCAAATGATGGGACTGAGTAGAATCAGCTGTCTGAAGCCATAGATCAGAGTTGGTCCAAGCAGGAAGTCAGGAGCTGAGAGTAGAAGTTGAATTTCATACCAGCACCCATACAGGAGGGTTACCATTGACCCAACATTGTTCTGATATTTCTTTGGGACTCTTATGCAATTTCCTGCAAGAGCTGACCATTGGGATCAACGCCGGATGGCGCACCTTGGTTGGGAGCAGATCTGTAGAGTGCTCTTTCAGCTCTTCTTTGTGGGTGTCCACAAGAGTGCCGAAGTCTCCAAATGTAGAGTTTGGGTGCTCAGACCTCACTATGCTTTGGCTGTAGTCCTCCTATGGTTTTGGTCCAGCAGAAGACTCCACTGGGGCAAATGTAAGAGATTGGGTTTAGGGGAGACACAGGCTGCACAAGTCTAGATCACAGTTTATGTAACAGATTTAGGGAAAGGCTCACATTTAACCTGTGAGAAAATACAGCTTGAAGACAATGATTCTACAATAAGGGAGGGAAGGCAACTAGAAACCCATGTATAATGAAGGTGTGTTCATTTCACACACAAAACGAGAGAAAGAGGGAGGGAGAATCTGAAAATAAGCCATTGGTTTCAGTGGTAACTTGTCACATGGCTGGACCTCAACACTGTCTATAGGCGACATACATTTTTGTTGGAAGACTAGAGTAGTCCTCTGTAGATGCTGAACTCTGTATTTCTAAGGCTTTGGTCTTATGACTGGTTCATCATGCGGAAGTCACAGGAAAGGCCTTTGCTGACTTCCAGCTGCTCCCAGGATATGCTGAGCCAATCACATGGATTCCTTTTCACTCTCACATGGGCTTGTCGTAGTGGCCTGCCAGAAGAGAACCCGGTATACACAGGATTGTGTGCAACCAGCTACGTGCACTCAGAAAGCAGCTGGAAGTCAGCCTAGGCAAGGCTTTTCTAGTTCATTAGTTATATCAGACTCAGCCTTTAATTTCAAATGGCATTCATAACAGTCTTTGAACTATTGTAAAGCTTGGAATACAACGGATGGGGAAATAATTGTATTATTTATTACTTCTTGGTAGTCAGGCTATTATTATTATCATCATTGTTTCAATTGTGCAAACTATTCATTGTGTTATACACCATCAGTGTGTTGCTTTACTGTCACCAGTACAGAAGGCCACTTTGTGCCCCTAACAGCTTTGTACATCTAAGAACGGGAGCTGGCCCTCTATTTCTTTTTCCATGGTGAACTGTATATTTGGGCATCTTAGATGTCATGGTCCTATGCAAAACTGACCTCCGACTGGGACACAAGGTCTACAGAAAACCCACCCACACAGACCGGTACCTACACAAAAACTCCAACCACCACCCACAGCAAAAAAGAGGCATAATCAAAACACTGGTAGACCGGGCAAATCGGAACTGTGAAGCTCAGTTTCTCAGCACTGAACTCAATCATCTGAACTGGGCCCTACAGGCAAATGGCTACTCCAAAAATGAAATCACAAGAGCCATCAAACCTAGAAAACAACACCGAACTGAAGAAGAAAAACAGCCACCCACAAATAAAGTATTTCTGCCACTGAAATCCACAAGCATAAGCATAGTTTCAACAAAAAAAGAGGAAAGTATGAAGCTCAACAAAACTTGGCTCCCAGCTATCAAACATACTACATGCAAAAGGTCAATGAACTCTACCCACCCACAAGGACAGGGGATCACTACACACAAAAGACCAGCTAATGACACCCATCAACCACAGAAACAGATAATCTCTTCCCCTTAGCACAATACACCCACAACAATACACACTAATCACCCATCTAGAGGAAAGGAGAAAAGCCTATCTCACAGCCATAAATACTGCACTCCCAAGCCAACTACACCAGAGCACAGAGTGCTATTCTCTGAAGATGCCGGCCACAGAGACTGGCGAAACGTCAGGAAGAACAACCTTCAGAACACGGCCAAAGAGCCCGAAAAACCCACAACAACCAATTTTTTCTTTCTTTTGAAAGAAGTAATTTATTCTTTCCCTCAGTGTCCCTGGGCTTCATTTTGTCCCCCATCTGTTTTGTTCCCTATGAAATATCAGCAGGCAACCAACCCCTGGGACAGGTCACACAGAGCTTTGAAGGGGGGGCGCTATATGTGAGCTCTGTTGCCCCTTGTTACCTGCAGCAAGGAATCAGTGAATACTTTTGAGTAATGCTTGGGGTTGATAACAAACTGCATGAGGGTGAAGAAACTAAAATTAAATCCTGTCAAGATGAGTATGTACTTTGCTGTTTCTCAGGGAAAAGTCTGGCTTGGCAACAGGGATTCAAGATGTTCTGGAAGGAACTACATTGCCCAAGAGATCAGATTTCTTGTCTGGGGAAGCTCCTAGTCCCATGGTTCCCAACCTTGAGTAACCCAGGTGTTCTTGGACTACAGTTTCCAGAAGCCTTCAACACCAGCTGTGCTGGCTAGGGTTCCTGGGAGTTACAATCCAAGAACACCTGGATTACCCAGCGTTGGAAACCAGTGTCCTAGACCCTGTATTATCCCTGAATTCCCAAGTAGCAGAAGTGGTAAAGGGGATATTTGCACAACCATGTTTAGCATCCCGGCCAGTGCCTTGACCAAGCTGGTTTGATTTGGCAACTGTAGTTTTTCTCTTATTTCCATTGAATCTTGACTACGGTAACGTACTCTGTGTAGGGCTGCCCTTGACACTCAGAAGTTTCAGTTTGGTCCCCCAGAAATCCTATTACTTTGGTACTGAACAAAATTACTGGCAATTGCTTTCTGGGCTCAGTTTAAGGTGTTTGGTTTAGCTTAATGTTTGGATGGTCTGAAGGCCATTTGTCCATCCCTCGGCTGCTCTAGGGACTGTACAAGCCTCTCCCATGTGACACTTAACCAGAAGGCCCATTCCTGCTTTGAAAAAAAAACAGCATTTGATTTTGAGCTATAGTAAACCTGTGCCTTGTTTTAGAGAACAGTATTCCTGGAAGTGCACTTCTCCTGCACGAGAAGGAAATGGGTGGCTTGGGAGAGGGGGTCACAAGAAGGCCTTGGGGGCTGCATGCAGACTGACAGACCCCATAGCCCTTGCCTTTGCTCTAAAGCCTGGCTGTCCGCCCCTTTTCGTTCTACCGCCCCCCTGAAAAATGAAATCGCCCCCTGGGGGGCATTATCGCCCACGTTAAGAACCACTGCTCTAAAGCCTGGCTGTGTAAGGGATCACCAGCCCTGTCAATTAAGATCTATGCCAGACGTCTTTAGGATACCATGACTGGCAGTCAAAAGTGCAAGATGAGCAGCATGTGGAAAAGGGCCTTCTCTGGTGTTGCTCCCAAACTGTTGGGAGTGTGCTCTGATGCAAACAGTCTCCATTCCATTCCCATTGCTTTTTGAAAAAGCTTTAAGGCATATATTTTTAATTTGGCCTTTTATACTGTTTGGGTGTTCAGTGACTCTTGCTGGTTTAAATATTTTATTATTTTGTTTCTGTTGTACACTGCCCTCAATGTTTTCCCAGGTGCTATATAAATGGAAATGAAAAGATAAATGTGCTGTTCCACATGGATGTGAAAACAGACAAAAGGAGTATGGAGCATGGCATAAACGTGGCCTTCAACAGACAAAAGGAGTATGGAGCATGGCATGTGTGGCCTTTTAAAAAGTCACTTTGCACTATTTTACCCATTCTAGTAACGTTATCTTGGCCACTGACCAGTGTGTTCCAGTCTCATTCCTCCCATGTTCAGCTCAAGACCACTGGCTTCTTGTGGCATTTGCCAGCCTCTCTGGGCCCTTCATTGGCAGATCTCTGGTACAGTGTTGCTCTTTAAGGCATATCCATAAGTGAGCGGGTTTGCTGAATTACCCTTCCTAGTATCCTGTATATAATTCCTTTTTTTCTCATAAGTGAGCGGGTTTGCTGAATTACCCTTCCTAGCATCCTGCATATAATTCCTTTTTTTTCTCCTTCATCATTGTAGGATTACTTAAGCTGGACACCTCCTGAAACTCGTTGCCATGTCAACAGTTTACTGGAAAACAGTCAGGACAAAAAAGAAACCTGGCGAACATGTCTACCCAAAACCTACAGCACAAGAACAGGTGCACTCATTCTTTATTCGGAAGATCTAGCCAAACCGTCAAGGAAATGGGAAGAGCCCAAGAAGTCCCAAATAAAAAGTCAAATCAAAAACCAGACTCTACAGATAGAGCTTCACACACTCCAAGATTTGGCTCAGGCCATCTTGGCATATGGAGCCCAAAAGGTAAGAAATTGCAACCTGTTCATGAATCTGTCAGGTCTGTGCCCCTGTGCAGTTAACGGCAGGGATATGGGTTTGCTCAAAGTTGACTCAGGAGCCTGTGATGCACATGGATGTGTGTGAGGCTGGGAGGAGATGGCTTCCAGTCTGCTGGCTGGATGGGTGTTTGTACAAGATTGCTTGCTATGTCTAGAAATGTGGGCTTTGTGTTTGCGTACGGCCGTGAAGCCTACTGGCACAGGTGGCTGACTTGGTGAACGCCCAACCCCAGAACCAGCCAGACCACTTACCGCATGGCACACATGGCTGGCATTGTCTTCTGCGCCACAATCCTGGCAGTAGCTCAGTTGCCACAGCTCCACCTCCCTGTTCGCCCAGCCACTCTGGCAAGGGAGCAGGAGTCTCTCTGCTCAGCCGCGGAGTGACCAGGCAAGCAGAGAGGTGGGGCTGCAGCAACTGAGCTACTTCCACAATTGGGGTGCACAAGATGACGCTGGCCATGCACGCTGAACATCGCACAGTAAAGGGTCCGGCAGGTTGTGGGGGTGGGTGTGCCAGCGGGAATACAAAGCCCCCATCTCTACCCTAAACCCATTCATGTTGTGTTCAATCTTATAAGGATGTGATTTCTTTTAAAAAAAACAGTGACCCATTAACATGTCACAGCTAAACTACCTATGACATTCAATGCACAGTATGCTTCTGAGCCTTATTTTATGATTGGGAAGGTCTATACCTCAATAGTTGAGCTTCTACTTTAATTCCCAATATCTTCAATACAATACAATATTGGGCAGGATAGCTAATACAGAATACAGAAACAAAATTCAAAACTACCTTGATAGGTTGGAGCACTGGGCCGAAAGCAACAGAATGAAATTCAACAGGGATAAGTGCCGAGTCCTGCACCTCGGAAAAAGAAACCAATTGCACAGTTACAAGATGGGGGATACCTGGCTCAGCAAAACAACGAACGAGAAGGATCTTAGAATTGTCGTAGATCACAAGCTAAATATGAGCCAACAGTGTGATGTGGCTACAAAAAAAGGCAAATGCTATTTTAGGCTGCATTAATAGAAGTATGGTTTCCAAATCCCGCCAGGTGCTAGTCCCCCTTTATTCAACAATGGTTAGGCCTCACTTTGAGTACTGTGTCCAGTTCTGGACACAACACTTCAAGAAAGATGCTAACAAATTGGAACAAGTTCAGAGGAAAAGGGACAAGGATGATCAGCGGTCTGGAAACCAAATCTTAGGAGGAAAGTTTGAAAGGGTTGGGCATGCTTAGCCTTGAGAAAAGAAGGGGTGATATGGTAGCACTTTTCAAAAATTTGAAAGGCTGTCATACTGAGGAGGGGCAAGATCTGTTCTCGATCGTCCCGGAGTGCAAGACATGCAACAATGGGCACAAGTGAAAGTAAGCCAGATTTCGGTTGAATATCAGGAAAAACTTCCTAACTGCTAACAAATTGGAACAAGTTCAGAGGAAAGGGACAAAGATGATCAGGGGTCTGGAAACCAAATCTTAGGAGGAAAGGCTGAAAGGGTTGGGCATGCTTAGCTTTGAGAAAAGAAGGGGTGATATGGTAGCACTTTTCAAAAATTTGAAAGGCTGTCATACTGAGGAGGGGCAAGATCTGTTCTCGATCGTCCCGGAGTGCAAGACATGCAACAATGGGCACAAGTGAAAGTAAGCCAGATTTCGGTTGAATATCAGGAAAAACTTCCTAACTGTTAGAGCAGTACAACAGTGGAACCAGTTACCTCGGGAGTTGGTGAGTGCTCCAACATTGGAGGCATTCAAGAAAAACTTAGATAATCACCTGGCAGATATGCTTTGATTGTATTCCTGCATTGAGCAGGGGGTTGGACTTGATGGCCTTAAAGGTCCCTTCCAACTTTTCTATGATTCAAGTTTGAAAATCCCTTCTTGAAGCCACAGGGGACTGCTGTCAGTCAGGGTTGCTAGAGATGGACCAATGATATAGCCCAGTATAAGGCAGCTGCTTATGTTCCTATGATAGATCAGAACCATCATGTTCAGGGAGAGGAGTCATATTGCCCTGGAATGGTTCCTCCCCAGACATTTTGCTCTTAGATCCCCACCACAGAATTTGTTTTTAAATTGGCATCAAGAACTTCATCTTTTCAGAAAATGTTCTGCTGCAGGGGCAAGTTTAATTTTTCAGGGGAAGGTTTAAAACTCAAGGACATTGATTTTGATCTGGATTGGGTTCAAATGTGTGCTTGCCTTGGACTGAGAAGGTAAATTAAGATTTGGGACAGAACTGAAAAAAATCATGGAGTTTTGGACTACTGTACCTGTAGACTCTGAAGTGGCATGACTCATGGTCATACTGGCTGGGTGAGTCTCAGAATCAGAGTCTAATTCCACCCCCATCTCTGATTCAGCTATACACTAGCCCAAATCCTCTTGTGTAACTTTGCAAAAGTTGTATCATATGGTGGCAAACTACTTCCATTTAAGAAATTACCATAGACATTATGGTAAAATCACCATAGACATTATTAGTTGCACACCAAGTCATACAACTTAGTGTGCAGCTGATAATATCTATGGCAATTTCTTTACATGAGGCAATTCACCTCTAAACATTACTCCTTTTTTGCTGTGCCATCACCACTACCATGTTTCCCTGAAAATAAGACAGGATCTTATATGTATTGATTTTTGTTCCAAAAACACTTTAGGGCTTATTTTCAGGGGATTTTTTTTTCATGTACAGTAATCTACATTTATCCAAATACAGCCATGTCATCTTCTTGTTGCTGCACAATGGTGGAGGACGGGGTTTCACTTAACTGGGGCTTATTTTGGGGGGTAGGGCTTATATTACGAACAACCTGAAAAATCATATTATGGCTTATTTTCAGGTTTGGTATTATTTTCGGGGAAACAGCGTAAGTAAGGGAATTTGAGCCACACGATTGGCTTTCAAATTAATATCAGCCATGTAGGAATCACCATTATTTATTTATTTATTTATTTATTTATTTATTTATTTATTTATTTATTTATTTATTTATTTATTTATTTATTTATTTATTTATTTATTTATTTATTTATTTATTTATTTATCCATCCATCCATCCATCCATTAATTAATTAATTGATTGATTAATTCATACATACATACATACCCCACTTTTCTCCTTAAAAGGACCCAAAGCGGCTTATATTGATAAAAGGACAATATTTGAAAACTAAAAACAATAAGTTTACAAATATTTAAAATATTTAAAAGAACCCAAGCTGACTTGGGTTCTTTTTAAGGAGAAAAGGGGGATAAAAATATTTTAAATATATAACAAATAAATAAATATCTGTTTCAAAGGAGCAAATCCTTTGAAATCCACTAATCAACATCATCATCTGAAAGGGACCTTATGGATCATAGAGTCTAGCCCCTGTCAAGCAGGCACACCCATACTCTGGCTCCGCATGTCTGAAAATAGATGAATGCACGCACACGTGCACACACTCATGCTCGTGCACACGCACACACATCAGTGCAGAATGACAACTTTCAGGTTTTTCTGAAAAGAAAGAATGGCAAAACATCTCAGGCCTATAACTTGGATGTGCACCTTTTAAATAGATACTTTTTAAGAAGTCTTCTAAAGGAGAAATTCAAACTATTGAGGAGTAGCTCTACAGTATATCTATAACACGAGGAAGGTGTTGCCAGAAACTTCTGGCCTATTTCAATAGATTCTGCTCAGCACCTCCTGCTCAAAATGCCTGGAAAAGGAATCCATTAATAAATGCCGTCTGACCCAATAAGGGATTCCATGCCTGAAGCATGGAGACAAAAGACACCTCTGAAAACCACTGCCTGTGGTATGAGCCACATCAGTGTATCCAAGCACGACATCCATCAAAGATTAAAGGAGCAGGGAAAGGATGCTGCTGTGACCAAACACACGGAATCATGTGCCGACTGCCACAAACAATTAGATTCCAGCAGGGATGGTTCCCAGGCACTGGCAGATCATGCTGCTGCCATAAGAGGGGATAGAAAGTGAAAGCGGAATTAACCCATCACACCCTCCAGTCAGATACAGGGGAGGCTTTCTTATGGGGAAAGTTGCTGGTAATCTTGCACATGTCTCTCATTCTCTTTGTATTTAGAAGTTCACTTTTAAAATCACCCTCTTCCGTTCAAAAAATGGATTGCTTTTTAATTTATTGACCATCTTAGAAAGCTAAGAAAAGAGGTGGTCTTCTTAATTTTAATTTTTTTAAAATTATCAATAAAAACATGTAACTGTCCTTTTATTCTGAAGCAATAATTTTAATATAGTGTTCCTACACATTTATGGCTCTTGTCAGTGGTTGTTGTCAATTTAGTTTGCCATGACTCTGCCTTGGGGGAATAGGGATGGGAGTGGCTAAAGAACACCACTAGGGAACACCACTAGAATGGGGGGAGATTTTTGGATAGGACTGCCCCACTGAAATGCTTTGGAGGAAATTTGAATTTAGCTTAAAGTTTTGTCTCACAATCCCATTGTCACCCCTTATAGTTTCTTACACATTTTTCAGTGGTTCACTAGAGCAGGGAATGTTTGTCTCAGGGCACAGTTACACTGTGAAAATGAATCTGGAGATGCCTCAGGGGTTTGAAGCCAGTTAGAGTCATGTGGTAATCACGTGGTTTTTGGGTTGGTGGGCGCATCCTCTTGGGAAAACATTTAATCCATTTTTAAACTGTGTTGTATATCAGTTGACGGGGCTACACAGGCTTTCAACATTGTTGTGTTTGAGCCTTTGTCCTGTGCCCATGTGACATTTTTATTAATTTAAATACACACACACACTAGTTCAGTATGATAGAAAAAGTGTTAAAACATAGATTTCTCTCCAGTCTGACACATACACATACAGACAGACAGACAGACAGGAGTAGAGAAGGAGAATGGTTCTGGGGCTGGGAAGAATGAAGACACTATTGAGAGTATATCTGCTATACTTTGAACATGTGTACTTAAAAATGTACTAGCAGAAATGTTTTAAGCTGATTCAAGAAAGAATGTGACTCCCTGGAGAGAACTGGTGGAAACTTAACAGAATTCAGTGCTCTTCCCTTTAATTCTGGTTGCAAAACTCAAGACAGGGCAAACTTAGTTTAGAAAAATACTTTGTGTTTTACATATGTAACTTCAACAACTTATCTTCAACATGAAAAATACTTTGTATTTACATATGTAACTTCAACAACTTATCTCCAACATAACAGCATACAATAACTGGTTACTCACAACCCACTATAACACAACAGTGTGACTGCCCCTTTACCAGAGCAGTAAAGCAATGCTCTCCCAGAGTTTCCTTTCTATAGAGAAAAAGCCTCTGAATTCAGCAATACCTGCCTGAGGCAACTCAAGCCTCAAACTCTGCCTGTTAACCAGCAACAGGTGTATGCTTGCACTTTACATACAGTCTTTCTTCCATATTTTACTAACATGAGTACATTTCATATGTTCAAGACTTTAATTTACAGTATAGTGACCTGCTCCATTTACAAATATCTTGACAGACACACCACTGAGGGGCAAAGAGAAACTGACCAGAGAAATTGATAAGATCCTCAGCTTCTGAGCTCGGGAAGGAAAAAGTGCTCCCCCCACCCCGCTCAACCTTTCTGCTGCCTTCCTTTTCCTGTTGGACAGCAAGGTTTTACTGCAGCCTGCAACCCATGATCGTGACACCCATTACTTGACTAACCCCACAGATGCAATTTACACTGTCAGAGGCATTCACATATGCCATAACTATTAAAAATAAATCAGTTTCACAAGCTATTTAATATTAATGACCCTCTCATGGCCGAGTAAAATATTTCACTTTCCAACCCAAACAAACGCTTCCTGGGCAAAAAAATAATCTTCGTTTCCCTGTGTGTTATGCAGTTAGATTTTTAGAAATCAATTTCAAATATGCTAAACCCAATTCAGAATCAAGATTTTTTTCCCCCATGTGTAACCAAGCCCTCACTCTCTTGGTTACTGACTGGGATAAAGCTTGACTGCTGCTTGGACAAAGTATGGCAACCACCTCAAGCAGACAAACTCCTTCTGACTGTTCCTCCAGTAGATTAGGGGTCTGTCCTCTTCCTGCTGGTGTGAGAACTTGGCATTTCAGTTGCACACTGATGTTAGGGAGTGGGGAAGATGAGTTGCTATCATGTCACCATGCTGGCTGAGTTTCCAAACAACTGGCCACAGCCCAAGCAGAAAAACGTGATCCCCGCCCTTCCCCTTAATAGGAGATATCTCCCCAACGTGAACATTTTCACACCCGTTTTAACAATGGACTTTGTTCTGACACCAGCTTTTACAGAGGACTTAGTTCCACTGCAGTGGGCTAGATCACTCAGTGGACTGGGTACTTGTTCAGTTGGCTAGATCAGTGGTTCTTAACCTTGGTTACTCAGGTGTTTTTGAACTGCAACTCCCAGAAACCTCAGCCAGCAGAGCTGATGGTGAAGGCTTCTGGGAGTTGCAGTCCAAAAACATCTGAGTAACAAAGGTTAAGAACCAGTGGGCTAGATCACTCAGTGAACTGGGTACTTGGCTGCAAAGCTGGAAGGGCAGGAGTTCGATTCCCCCCTGTGTTTCTTGGGAGAACAGACAGTCTGTGTGGTCTTGGACAAACTACAAGGTTCCTGAGTGACCTCAGATAAAGTTGCTGATAAATCACTTTTGAGTATCTGAGCAGGGTTGCAATAATAATGATGATGATGATGATGATGATGATGATGATGATGATGATGATGATGATGATGATGATGAGGTTGTGGTTGTGGTTGTGGTTGTCGTTGTGGTTGTGGTTTTGGTTATGGTTGTTTTAGTTCTACTGCAGCTATGGCCAAGGGTATTCTATTTCATGTAGGATGACTGTTAGTGCTGGTTATAGGGTCACATTAAGGCTTGTGTTGCCACTGTGCCCATGTGCTACTGTGTCAGAATGCTGGCATGGTGCCCTTCTATCCTTGGCAATGGAACACCACTTTCAAATTGACTTGGGTCAGACTCAAGCTGGTAACAATGGGTCTCTATAATATGGTAAAATGCAGAAGAGCTTCTGATGTAAGCAGGACCATCATGAAGGAGCCGATAGTAGGTTTATACTGCCAAGCACAGGAGCTGTTAGGACAAACACAGCCATTTCAGGGGAGAGGGGATTATGCACTAATGATGTATTGATCCATTTCCTACTAATCATGATACCAATACACTCACATCATCCCTGTTATTAGATTACTGTACCTGCCAGAAGTGGGTGGTACACAGGGTGTTTGCTTTTACTGAGATCATCAGTCCCTGTTTTCAGGTAACAAACATGTTCATTTGTTACTTCTATTTCCCTTTGTGGGGTCCTGTGTTTGTTTAAGGGGGGGACATTGGGAGGGTTTTTTTCAAAACCCAGTTTTCCTACTTTTTGAAATGGACTTTCAGGGAGGAAAAAAGAGCAGGTCTAAAGTACCAAAAGAAAGCAACAAGTAACACCATGAAGAACACAGAAAAGTATGGAGCAACAAGTAATGCCAAAAATTGCTTTTAAAAAGCTACTTTCTGAGATTTGCCCCAGAGGTCCTTCACCTGAAGAGTGACGTTTCACCGTATGCCATGCCCATTAGCACCCATATCCAGATAAGTAGATCTCTACATGTTAACTGGCTCATAGCTTTGCAATGGAACATATCTGCCCAGAGTTCTTTTCTGCATATGAATGTGCCATAATGCTTAACAGAGTAAGTGGTTCCCAACCTTTGGTCCCCAGAGGTTGTTGGACTAAAATTCCCAGAAGCCTTCACTACTAGCTATGCTGGCTAGAATTTCTGGGAGTTGTAGTCCAAGAACCTTCGGAGACCCAAATTTGGGAACCAATGGTTTATATGCTCCTTCATGGTTCTCCTCATCATGGACTATATGACATGATTTATGCTTATGTAAATGTTGGTTTTGTATCACATTTTGTTATGTTTATTTGGTCATAGTTGATGGCCAAACAGATAAAACTACATTAATTGTGCACTGATCTAGTGAAGTATCACTGGATCCAGTGAAAGATAGGGACGTGGTGGTGCTGCGGGCTAAACCGCAGAAGCCTGTGCTGCAGGGTCAGAAGACCAAGCAGTCGTAAGATCGAATCCACATGACGGAGTGAGCACCCGTCACTTGTCCCAGCTCCCGCCAACCTAGCAGTTCGAAAGCATGCAAATGTGAGTAGATAAATAGGGACCACCTTGGTGGGAAGGTAACAGCGTTCCGTGTCTAAGTCGCACTGGCCATGTGACCACGGAAGATTGTCTTAGGACAAACGCTGGCTCCATGGCTTGGAAACGGGGATGAGCACCGCCCCCTAGAGTCGAACACAACTGGATAAAAATTGTCAAGGGGAACCTTTACCTTTACCTTACCAGTGAAGGAAATCTGTGCAAAAAAAGTGGTTTGTTTCTATTCCTTTAATTTACATTTCATCTTACAGGTTTGTTGAATTGAGAGGCATGTGCATAAAGTATAGGCATCCAGCTGAGGACATAGTAAATCTGCACCACCTTGTTTATCTGCTGTGTAAATGTCTGCCATCATCCCACTTTCTCTGTAAGGTGTAGATTAACATATTTTTAATGCTCACAAGAGTGGAACCATTAATTGATTCCAATGACATACCTCAAGGATGATGTTTTTAATTATAATTTAAAAATTATAATTATAAAGCCTTGTTTAAATGTTTGTATGTACTTCTGCTCATCCTTCATCTGCAGATTTTTAAAACACAATTGTAAAAGGACTCGAGATTTGGGGGAAGATGTGTTTGTGATTTCATAGGCAACAGCCCATAGACATCTTTTGGAATTGGCTTCAGAAATTAACTACGATGGAAACAATCAGAATGGTTTTTTAAAAAAATTATTTCAAGCCAAAAAAAAATAAAAGTCTTTATGTTGAACAACATTAGGATGTTTTCTAAATGGTACACTGCTATTAAAATTTTAGACTAATCTTCACCGTCATTAGTCAAAGACTTGGGAAAGTTTTAAGGTTTGTTCAAAATATCCAGCTGTCTGCATTAGTGGCTACATTGTCTTCCTCTTCTACTCAGCCACTTGCAAATGCCTTCAGAGATCTTTAAGAGGAAATGGATGAGAATCTGCTCTGCAAATGCGGGGTTTAATATCCATTGATACCTATTGTCCATATTATAGATACGGAAGAGTAAGAAAGGATGTGCTTGGCAGCCATATCTTCACTTTTTAAGTGACCCAGAGATCCAGACTGACAGACAGATGAGACCCGGCTATTCACCTAAGAGATATCTCCTCAAACTCTCTCAGACCTGGGACCCAGGCCTTCTACAAAAGCTTCAACTTAAAGGTCAGCTTTACTTTAAAGCAAGCTCAGATTAGTACATGTATTAATCTGCACTAAACATGCTAGCACTCAAGTGCATGTTGAAACAGAATCCGTTTAAATGTCATTACTGGAGGAATTGTTGTAAAGCTATTCTGTTGTAGAGATAAAATGACGCTGATAAATTTATTATAGGGACCAGTCACTAACCAGAACTTAAAACTCATTAAATCTTTAGTTCCCTCCCCCTCCCCCAAATAGCATTGCCTGTTCAAAGGAGATCATGACAAAGCCCCATATTTAAAAACTCTTACTTTTTGCTTCATGGAGAGTAACATTCACTAAAATATGTTTTCACACCACGCCCACGGCATTCTTGGCTGGAAGATATAAATGGGTGCCAAGAAACTGATGGGTTTGTATCTGTGTTCTGGGAGAAGCAGAGGACATTTTCTGTGTAACTTGTGCTGCTCTCTATATTAAAAGCCTAGGGAGAGGTTCCCAGGGCAGATTCTATCATCATCACAAAGTAGAAATATTTATTTGAAGATTTATTGGTGCCAGATTGTGAACCTTATGTTATACATCAAGCGAGCTTGTCTGGCAAGGTCGCAAAACAGAATCATGCGGGCCCTCTGAATGCCACTGAAATTGCTCGTGCAGGTGGGAGAAAAATGGGGTTTTTATGTTCTATATCTTGTATTACTGTTTTATGTGGGAGGTGGGGTTTTTTTGTCCAGGATAATTGTTTTAAGCCTGTTGATCATATGCAATAAAATAATTGACTTGGCTTGAAAAGCTTTTGCGTACCGCAAGAGACAGAAAATAAAAATGTAGGAAACATGGTTTCAAAATAAAGAACAGTCTTTCCAAAGACCTGGTGCAGAACAAATTTAAATAAATTAGGGGTGAGGTGAGGAATCCCACTGATTTCAGGAATAACTGGATGGCACCCAAATGGCTATATTTCTGAATGATGTGTTACTGCAGATGAGGTGTAACTGGCCTTAAGTCCAGTCTGTTGTATTTTTTTTTAATGGCAGAAGACCTGCTTTGTTCTAGAGGGTCCCGGCCATATAGCGTGTCCAGGTAGGGCTGGGAAAGAACCATGCATTAATCCTTGGATGACACTGGCCAGTCAGGCCACTGTAGACATGATCAAAAGCAATACTGATTTGGATGCATTATAAGCTGGCTTCTGATGTTCCTCTTCCAAATGACATGCCTGTGCTGTCTGTGTTCCAGGATATATTCGGGACCCTTTGTTACTTGAGGAGCACTCACAAGATCACAGAAAGAGACAACAAGATCTGTCAGCGGTTCCACCAAAATACAATCTTCTGCATATTTACTGTTCACCTTGGCCCTATTTGCAAGCTGAGGTAGAAGAGCGACAGACTCATCCAGGTACTGTAAAAATTAAGGAAACATCTACATCTGTGTTTATGATCTGATTGTGCCGTGTGGATGATTAAAGCATAATGAATCATAAACAAGAACAAGACCGGAAGCTTGTGTGCGCAAAACCGAGAGTAAGCCCTACTGAGGTTAAGGGGCTTACATCAGAGTAAACCAATGTGTATTGAGTAGAGTGATGGTCTAGAGACCTGGTTTCAAATTTCTGCTTGGCCATGGAAACTCACTGGGGGATGGCAATGGTGAAACTCCTCTTAAATACCTCACAGACCTTAAAAAACATATTAGGGTTATTGTAAGCAAGATGTGCACCAATGACACCTAACATGTACATATATTTAAGATTCTGCTGCATATCCCCTCTTCTGACCATTGAATGGGTAGCAATGGGAAGGGTAGAAATGGCCTAAAACAGTGGTACTCAGAAACAAGACACAGTGCAACAGATCCTGGACTACAAAGCAGAACTCCCTTTCATGCAACAGCGAACTGGGGTCTCAGAGACATCTGGTGGCCTTCTCAGTTAGCACTCTGTGTTGTCCTGAAGGGCAGGAGACTGTCACCAGGTGAATGGCAGTGAGGAGGGAGGGATAAACGGGGCCCATACTGCTCTCAGCCTCTTGTCCTATTTTTCTTCTTTCAGTGGGAGTTTGATCAGGACAACCTCCCGGGGAATTCTGCCCAATATTAATCGGGAATAGATGGAACCCATTGAGATCTTCTGTGCCACTTCCCAATATGTACAAATGTTTGCATATGAAATACACTCGAGCTTCTCTTGCCCAACTGGATTACTCAGGAGTAATCCCTAAACCCATTGAATGGTACAGTGAGAATTACTAAGATGTGTTCACATCACAGAGTTGTTTCCTTCAGCAAAGACATCTTTGATGCTTTACACAACCTCTTCATTTTGTGCTATGATTCTGACATGTTCAGCTGTCCTGCAGGCCTTGGTCCTTCATCTCATAAGCAGTCTGAGGAGAGACCCAGACTGTCGGAAGAACGCTATGAAGGAGAACCTAACACCAGAGGAATGGCTCAGATTCCTTTAAGGATTTCAGTCAGAAAACTCAGCTTTCACTTTAGACCACAGCAAACAAAGGAGACCGCCCGGAGCCAGGATCCGCCATACAAAGGAATCCCAAGGGTATGAGATGTTTCATGCTTTGCAATACAGTTTTCTCCTAGCTTCTATCAGCCTCAAGATTTCCTGGTTTCCTCCAGTACAGAAACCAGACTATTGCTGTTGGGACTAGCTTGAATGCATCCATTTCAGGAGCACTGGCAAAACTATATTTTAATGCTAGAATTGAAGAGGGAAGGGGTGGGGGAGACACTTACAATGGCTATGATTGTGCTGCACATGTCCTTCCTACAATATTATTTAATTATTCCTTTGCTCACAGTTTTTCTGTCTGGCTCATATCAAACGATCTCAGGATGGGCTATGACATGGTCACAATAAGATAGTGTTCTTAATTTGAGTCAAAGATATTAAAAGGCATCCACTTTGGTAGTACTCCTTAGGAAATGCATTGGAAGGACAAGTATTTAAAATAGCTAGTATACTACAGTAACTAGAGCAATAGAGTAGGACTAGGGAGAGCCGGGTTCAAGTCCTGACCTGGCCTGGAAGCTCACCGGCTGCCCAATCACTCTCTCTCTCATCCTTATTTTCTACACCAGATTGTTAAGATAAAAATGGTGAGGAGGACTGTGTTTCTTCCCATGAGTGCCTTGGAGGAAAGCCAGAATATAATTGTAATAAATAAAATTACATTAAACAAATGATGACACCTGTTCCCTCAGCAGCCCAAAACATTTTGCTGGTGCCTGAAGCAAACGGAAAGTTGGTGTCGCCTTCCCATTTCATCCACAGAAGAAACTGCCAGCTGGACTGGGAGTTGAAATGTACCTCAGCACTTGGAATGGGATCGCATCCTGGGCTCATATCTGAGGCAGAAAGCTAATTTAAGAAACTTGGGACAGGTTGTATGGTACATGCATCTGTCTCCATCAAGGTAACAGCTAGGGAGTTCACCAGGAAGAGACAAAAGGCTGCGACTGATGCCTGAGGTCATCACCTTCTCCGCCTCACTGCCAGGCCAGCCCTGCCATTTCCTCAATTTATATAAAATGAGCTGGGCTTACAGATGGTAAATTCTCCGAGTCAACCAACTAGGGCTTGTCGACATTGGCTCTTTTGGAATAGGCTGGTGCAGGGTAAATAAGGTTGTCCAGGGTCGGGTCGAGTTGCGATGTGCCATTTGGTGCAATCCCCCGCACCCAAATGTCACATTGCATCCTGGTTTGGCTCCTATCACTTTTCCTGTTTGGCAAATGGATGGATGTGTGTGGGGGGGTTACCCTTGCTTCATTGAAGTCACAGAATTTGAGGAGAGGGAAGATCAGTTGGAGAAGAGGATCTGACCCTTCCCTCCCACCACCTGGAATTCATTCCCCCCCCCCAAAATATCTAAGCTCAGGATGGTGCCACTTCTGTGCACAGTCTCAGCAAGAGCCCTCCATGTGTGGAAGAAAGGGACCTCACACCAGGGAGGGAGCTTTCCAAAAGGTGTGGGGCTGTGGATTGTGCCTTACTCCCTTCCCTTCTTTTCCCTTGGCTGCAGGCGTTAGGATCCTGCCAGATCTCCTCACCTCCCAGTGGCACACCTTTCCCTGGCCATACACCCTACTGATGCCACAGCCACCTCTCTATGTGGAGCTGCTGCCCAGATTGATGCCTTGCAGCTGCTGTGGCTTTCTCTTTCTCCACTGCCTTTCTACCTGTCTGCCTATCTGGCTATCTATCTGGCTGGCGAATGGGAATCTGGCAGCAGCCCTTCCTGGGCTGGCATGGACTGTATGCAGTGCATTCACCTTCATTTTTTTTTAAAGTGACTGTAATAGACCCTCACGAATGTGCTGCATCAATTACTGTATTAACTTAAACAAAACCTTTCTTTGCCTTATCTTAGAAGGCCAATCGAGCAATATGATGCAAAGATTTTTTTAAAAAACAAACAAACTGATGCCTCACATCAGTGATGGTCTATTACAGTCTCTCTTTTTTTAATCGCTTCCCCCTGCCCCTCCACTGAGGAGCAGAGGAAGTGTTCAAATTGTCAATACCCTAAAGTGGCTCACTTGTGAAGTTATTTCATAATATAGCAGACTGATAGCCAAAGGAGCCTTGGCAACATTTACAGCTCCAAAAGGCTCACTTTTGGTCCATTCTCAGTGACCACACATGCTGGAAACAGACCAAAGCAGAGCACTCCTACCCACACCAAAAAAAGTAGAAGCCTCTCACAGGAGCTCAGAAAGGTGTGGGTAAGGACACTCCGGATGATTTGGTTTCCTCCAGTGAGTACATCATGTGATCACTGGAAAGAGGAACAAACCAACCTGTCCCCATAGAGGATCAAGCTGTGAGCTAAATGCCTGTCTGATTGTGCCCTGTCTTCTTTCACCCTTTGCTTGGAAGGTGACTTTACTGTCATTATTTCACTACTATTAACAGTAGCTCATTCAACTTAAATGTAAGAGAATTTTCAAGTTGAGCGGGGGGATTGATGTGTTAAATAATTTAGACAGCCCTAGCTTTGTAGTTTGTAAGGCCTCCAATGTCTGTGATAGTCAGGTGCTATAAAGACACTATGGCTCCTGTACCTTTAACTGCTGGATTGGAAGAGAGATACGAACTTATCAAGTCTGAGAGCTAAGACATGTGGCCATCCTAGCAGCTTGGTCCTGATCCTGGCATCGGGAACCCATCGAGCATCATTTAGCACACACACCCCCGACATTTCAACATGGCTGGAAGATCTCATCCTTCATCTATCTACCTGTATCTGTGGATCCTCCTGGAGTATGCAGGAGTACCCACCTGATGCTGAGGAGGGGACATGGTAGAATCAAGACAGAATATCGATAATATCTGATTCTGTAACTGACTTGGGTGTATCACTCACATAGCCCCAGCATAAACGTTGTACACGCATATTCATCCCTCTGAGGAACTGAAACGATCGTGAGATGTTAAGCCCAGCCAACATATTCATCCAAAAACACTTCCGCACATGTACTATATGTAGACAGGGATATATTCCTGTGCTTGGATCACACCCACCAAGAAAATGCTGTAAGCTCTGTGCCGGAATGGTACCTACAGACTGCAGACATTTGGCCACAACTATTGCTATGGAGATGAGAAAAGCTGGACATATTGACATTCCCTTTTCATCACAAAACTATCTCTTCATTATTTCTGATCAGTCAGACTCCTTGTGCTAAGTTTTTGTTGTTATTGTTGTTGTTGTTCTATGCAGCTTATGGTGACCTTGTTAGATTTGTTGTTATTGTTGTTGTTGTTCTATGCCATTAAGTCATATGCAGCTTATGGTGACCTTGTTAGCATTTTAAGTGTATGTGAGATAGCTAAGGAATAGGTTTACCATTGCACCTTCCGCCATGAGGTTCCATGGCTGAGTGGGAATTTGAACGTGGGTCTCCCAAGTCCTAGTCCAACACTGTACCCACTAGAACATCTTAGCTCTCTCTGGCCCTTGTGGAAGTACGCTTCAAATATTGCCACCCTTTTCTTCACGATACAGCATCCCTTTCCACTCATGCAATGCAAATGGCTTTGTCTCCATGAGGGAATAGAGAAGGCCCACACTCACTTTAAATGAAATAATGCATTGTCCAGTTTAGGAACACCTCCTTTATTATCCCATGTCTTTGCTGGAAAACAGGAAAAAGCAGAGAAACCTCTTTCATCAAGCACAGTCAGTTTGATCTTTTTAACCTATAAGTTTTATACACCAGTTGGTTCCACCTGCTGGCATAAACCTGAAATGCCAGGGAATAAAGGGATATATATATATATATTTTTCCCCCTAAAATTTTCATTTACCCCAACATGAGGGCAGATATATCCCTTTATTCCCTGGCATTTCAGGGTATATATATATATATATATACCCTAAAATTTTCTTTTACCCCAAAATGAGGGCAATAAGTTGCCCCACATAAGCCTAAAATGAAATGAATAATATGTGATAGAAAATCCAAATGGCAACACACCACCCAGCCATAAATATATAAGACCCTTAATGAAATTACTAACCATTTTTTTACCAAAATCAGATGAGTGAAGTGGCCTACATCCTCCTCCCGGATTGCACAGTCACTGACGGCAACATTTTGAATAGAGTTGAGGTGGGCACCTCCCTGTATGACTCAACCAGAAAGCCCCCTATCCAGTACACAGTCAGCTCTACCATTAGGCAGATTCCGGTGGCCATTTAAGGCTGGGAAGGACAGCATATTGTTGATTATTTAACTTGTTGTAATGTTCTTTCTGCTGAGGAGAGGGAGATGGGTTTGTGCAATATTCTGTCTCCTGTGCCAAAACAATGGGGCTGTTTTTGGATACCTGTGTAGGTGAAGTCTCCGTTCTTTGCTGTCCTTCAGACAGCACAATGTCTTGGTCTCATCCTGATGACTGCACGCAAAGCCACATGAGGCGTGGTTGGAAGAAAGCAATGTTATTCCTCTTGGGAAGCCAAAGCTGAAACAATTGTTCATAAATGCAGCTTTTCAAGTGTTCTCCTCTGCAACCTTCTAGGACAGATGGACAGAGGTTCGCCAGGACAGAAGGACTATATGGGAGCATCTAGACCACAATGTAAAACCAAAACAAGCTGTAGGTGATCCAGCTTCAGAAAATACCAGTATTGATGCTTCTGAGCTGTGGTGTGAGAAATCTCATGTGACTTTCTATGGAGGTTTTTTCCCTGGGAAAAATATCATCTACACTGGTAAGAAATTACAGTGAGGCATCGATTAAAAGTTATATGTTAATTATTTTAGTATGCATTTTGAGATATCACAACTAATGTTTCTACCTCTGGAACAGAAGCATGCAATAAGTTCTCTACAATAGTTGCCAAATGTAGGATTAAATGCAGGGCTGGGGGAACTTAAATCTAGATAAGGGTAGAAAATTCTGCCAGTATGTCTCCCTCTACTGATTTTGCTACTTCTAGATCGGAGGAATTCACAGAAGGACAGGTAGCAGATCCTAGCAGAATGCCTGCCTCCTTCGTAATGATGATAGTTTTATGAGAAGTTATACCTCTGAACCAAAGGCAACACCGGGATCATAATTTGGCAGGGATTCCTGTGCTCCATCATCCATATTCCAGTTCCACACCATCCAAAACCTTACCAGGTCACAGCCTGTGTTGCGTGATTTGAGAGATAGGTCCCCAAAATTCCTTGCAGAAGATTCTTTAGTTCTTTACTGAAGTGGTCAACCTGTCTCTGGATTATAACAGAGCAATCACATCGTGACATGGTGTTTTTCTCTATTAAAAATGTTTCCTCCCTTTAGACAAGCAGTGTGTGAAAGAGAAGGGTCCTGGCATGCTGGCTGCCTGCATACAAGGCTGTAGAGGAGCATTCCATCAGATCCCCCCACTTTCCAATGTGAAACATGAAGCAATGCAGCCTAGACACAATCTGGCCACTTAATTACCACCCGCTCAGACACCAGCTTTCTCACCTTTGGTTTCAATGGGACATCAGTGCAAATAACTTCAAATGAAAAACAGTGTTTGATCTCTGTTCCCCTCTGGTCTTCTGCAGTCACCCAAAGGCATTTGAAAAATGCAGATGGCAAAGAAATGAAGCCTTCTGTGGATCCAGGTTTATTCCCACCTGTTCAAACAGGAACACACTCAGAGTGTGATGGACTCACCAAGAAATATAAGAAACAGGTCAGTTTCTTTTCCCATTAGAACTGCAGTTTTGAGGGCATTAAAAATAAATGGCTTTGCCTCATAACAGTAAAATTGTCAGACCATTGGGACATGTGAGTTTCTGTTTTTCATTAATGCCCGGACAAAAACTACACATGTGGTCCAAGGGAGTTTGAGGCAGCCCTATTGCCAAACCCAAACACATGAGGATCTGGACGAGGCATGAATGGGCAGAAGACTATTTGCATGAACCCTTGTGCACCTTGAGTTTTGTAATGGAAGAGATGCAGACTATAGATGTGCTAAATTAAAAATGTAAGAACACAAGCCATCGAGGGAAGAAATGACCTGAACACAACTTGTAATAGACAAGGAGGGGAAGCCATTCATTTAACTAGTATTAAAGATAAAGGCCCAGGGCCCCTGTTTTCATCAACAGGCATAATGTCCCTTTGTAGCCACATTAATGTGGCATTTCAGTTGAATTTCATAATCATTATTTTGAAAGACGTTTTGTGACAAGGTAAACACTGGCATCTTTCTTCCCATCTTTCCCCTCCTGAGAAGCTGGCAGCTATAATTCACAAAAAAAAAAAAAAAACAAGACACTAAGGAGGAAATGATGGGAGACTCCTTGGGTATGGTCTAGTGTGTCGTTAAATATCATGGCCAAACCAACAGATTTTGCTGTCTGACGGAAAGGACTACATGGTACCCTCATCTCACCCTACACAGGTTGACTGGTGTGACATTAGAAACTTATTTCAAGATTTGGAATAGAGGAAGATCCCCTAAAACATTTGACACTACAAGATAGTTTAGGGAGAGCAGGGCTAGTCATGTAACTTACACAGCTTTATCCTCTTGTAGAAAGGGAACAGCCAGGGATGGTTGATGGCTATTCCCCAGTATCTGTTCCTGGAAGTGTTTGCTTCACTGTTCCTAATGGTGAGGATAGTCTTCATAAATGTGCTTAAGGCTGAAGTCCTACATTCTGGAGTTCGTTTCTGAATAACCACAGATAAGATCAGGCTCCAGATTCCACTGAAATAAAAAGGAATTAAATATGATTAATTGAACACTGGATTGCACCCTAATTATTCTCATTGCAAGTACGAACATGGATTCTCCTGAACGTTTGTTCAAAAAGATTACAACCCATATCCTGGATCATTCCCTGACAGTTCTTAAACCAGAATTTGATCAGGAATTCTGCCCACCTGCAGAGCCCATCCCTCGCAAGGCTGAGTTAGACTTCAAAAGAAAAGATTTGTGGAGTATAAGATCATCTTTAATGCCTCTGCAGTCGTTTGAAATGGGTGGGGTCCAAAGTGTCACAGAAAGCTGGCGTCAAATATGTTGAAAATGGTCTCGAAGTTTTGTTGTCCTCCAGGTGCCACAAATTTCTCAGTTACCTCAAATATGTGAAGACTCGTCCAGAGCTCCATGGAAAAAGCCTAATTCCAGTGAGCTCTCAAAAGAGCTTGTCATCCTTCCATTGTTGGTTCGACTGAGAAAGAAGGCCCAGCCCGAAGGAAAAAAGCTGAAAGGTACAGCCCTATGCCTTAGATCAATGCTTTCCAACCTTGGGTAGCCCAGGAATTCTTCACCTACAACTCCCAGAAATCCTGTCTAGCACAGCTTGTGGTGAAGGCTTCTGGGAGTTTCAGTCCAGGAACATCTGGGAACCACTGCCCTAGACGAATGGTAACTGTGTATTGTGGTAATAACTTGCATTGGGTTGGCTTATTCCCCAACTAAATTACATTTTGCCCCCATCACTGTTTATTTCACATTGCTTTCTCGTTCTTTTTACATGTTAGCTGGGAGTTATGGGACCTGTAGGCAAATACATCTGGAGGGCACCCAGTTGGGGAAGGCTGCTGTACACATTTATACATCAAACTCTGGGAATAAAGGAAAATGGTGAAGATGAAAAACCCTTATGATTTTTGCTTCACATCTTTCAGAAACTTGCTGCATTGAATCCGAACCTAAGGTTGCTGCCCGTGATGAGCAGCTGGCACCTTTGCAGAACAACCTCACTTTCCAGCTAGAACGCCGCCATGAGCGACAGCCGGAGATCCGTGGTGGGCTTCCCAACACGGCACAAGATAGCTTCCACTTGCCTCCAATAAATAAGGGAGAGTTGACTGGGAATGGGAGAAAGACGAAGAGAAAAGAGGCATGCGCTGCCGAAAAGGTCCATAAGCGTCAAAGAGGTTGGTTAGCTCCAGATAAGTATCAAAGTCACCTTCCCCTCAGGAAGAACTGTCGCTCATATGCAGAATCTTCCAGGTTCAATTTCCTTCACCATCTAAGGGTCAGAAGAAGACCAAGGGCTGTGAAATACAGCCACCGGCTTCATTAATTCAAGATCGCTTCCTCAAGGCAGAGCACAGTGTGCAGAATAACCTGGATTCATGGGGTTGGAGAAGGGATTCTTACATTTATGAAGTTGGGGGGGAATCATACTGTTTTTTTTTTTAAAGAGTTTTAGGAATGGAAAGAGGAATTTAGTTATTTATTGGGGAATAAATAAGGCTCATCAACAGGATGCAGTGCAGGACACTGTCCTATATAGCACTATAAGGGAGAGGATTATAACGGTCAGGCACCTTTTGGCTCCCCACCACCAACAGAAAATGATGGTCATGAGAGCTAACAGTGCTAAACTGGCTAAATAGCTGAGTAGGTATCTGCCTGTAGAGGTTTGGAGTTTGAATCTCTTCTGGGCTTCCCACGAGAACAGCCAACCTGTGTAACCTTGGACAAACTGCACAATCCCAGGTTAGCCCCAGAAGAAGCAAATCATAAATCATTCCTGAGTACTCTGTACTGAGTAAACCCTGAAAAAGGTTTGCCGTAAATCAGAATTAGCTGGTTGGGTAGCTCTGTGAGTTAGGCATTTGACTGCAGAGCTAAAGGTTGAGAGTTTAATTCCCTACTGGGCATCCCGAAAGAGTTAGCTTGGGTGGCCTTGGGCAAGTTGCACGGTCTCAGAAGTGCCCCCAGAAGAAGGGAACAGGCAACCGCTTCTGAGTACTCTCTACCTAGAAAACCCTGAAAAGGGTCGGCATAGGTCAGAGTCGACTTGATGGAACCCAATTCTTATTATTAAGTCAGAATTGATTTGGTGGCATGTAATTATCATTAGAATTTTTATAGCAAAGTGGCTGTCCAACAAGGCCTTATAAATAGCAGAGAAGAGAAGGGAAACAAAATGCAAGGGAGATAGGGAAAGTTACAGAAAATGGAATGCAGACTTCCACAGAATAGCAAGGAGAGACAAGAGGGCCTCCTTAAATGAACAGTGCAAAGAAATAGAGGAAAATAATAAAAAGGGAAAAACCAGAGATCTGTTCAAAAAAATTGGAGCTATTAAAGGAACATTTAGTGCAAAGATGGATATGATAAAGGACAAGGATGGTAGGGACCTCACAGAAGCAGAAGACGTCAAGAAGAGGTGGCAAAATTGTTTTTGTTCTTTAGTCATTAAGTGGTGTCTGACTCTTCGTGGCCCTGTGGACCAGGCCCTCCTGTCTTCCACTGCCTCCCGGAGTTTGGTCAAATTTATGTTGGTAGCTTCAATGACACTGTCTAACCATCTTGTCCTCTGGGGGGGCAGGTCCTGTCATCTCCTGGCAAATAGAAGGGGAAGACATGGAGGAAGTGACAGATTTTATTTTCCTAGGCTACATGATCACTGCAGATGGAGACAGCAGCCACGAAATTAAAAGACGCCTGCTTCTTGGGAGGTAAGCAATGACAAATCTTGACAGCATCTTAAAAAGCAGAAACATCACCTTGCCAACAAAGGTCCGATTAGTCAAAGCTATGGTTTTTCCAGTGCAGTGGTGTCTTGCTTGACGAGGATAATCTGTTCCAGCAAAATTGCTGTAGAATGAAATCATTGTCAAGCAAAAGTAAAAAACCCATGGAAATCCATTGAAAACCGGTTCAATGTGTTCCAATGGGCGAAATACCTCAGCGTCTAACGAAGATCCTCCATAGGGTGGCCTTTTTCCGGTGCCTGTAGTGCAAAAAATCAGTCCTAAAAACAGCGGGGGGCCATTTTCTTCAGCCAGCCGCCATTTTGAAAGCCAACAATCAGTTGTTTGCTGATCGTTGTAAAGCGAAAATCGGTTCCCGAAGCAGGGAACTGATCATCGCACAGTGAAAAAACCCCATTTAAACCATGGTTTTGCAATTGCAAAAGCGATCGCAAAAACGTCAACGTTAAGCGGATTCATCGTTAAATGGGGTAATCATCCAGCGGGGCACGACTGCATTCCTGTTCCTACTATCATATGGGAATGCAGTGTTTCTTTGTCTATGTACCTGAAGGAAATCAACCCTGAGTGCTCACTGGAAGGACAGATCCTGAAGCTGAGGCTGCAATACTTTGGCCATCTGATGAGAAGAGAAGGCTCCCTGGAAAAAGACCCTGATGTTGGGAAAGAGTGAAGGCAAGAGGAGAAGAGGGCGACAGAGGACAAGATGGTTAGACAGTGTCATCGAAGCTACCAACATGAATTTGACCTAACTCTGGGAGGCAGTGGAACACAGGAGGGCCTGGCGTGTTATGGTCCATGGGGTCACAAAGAGTCAGAAACGACTTAACGACTAAACAACAACAATTATTATTAAAGTGCTAAAATCAAATAAAACCAATTAACATTCAAAACACAATTAAAAATTATTGGGAGACACAGCTGACATCAGTGGAAAGGAAATATCATCATCTGTGCCCCTCCCAATGGTCGATTCCAGACATATCCATCAAGCACATCTGTGAGGAGAATGCAGAGCCCTTAGCCAGAGTGTAGAAAAATTACATTTTGAAACTTTCATTTCTAGATTTTTTTTGTAGTTCAAAAAAGTAACTTTTCCAAGCTGTGCCCTGAACATAAATACCACATGAAAGCATACAATTTAAGCAGGAGCTAATCAGGGGAAAAAAACAAAAACAAAACTGCTTAGGTCAGCCACTGCTGAATAGCTCAGTGGTTTAGGTCTCTGGCTGTGGGAGAAGTTGGGAGTTCGAATTCCCTAGTGAGCCTCCTTGAGAGGGTTGGACTCGATGTTCCAGAGGGTTCCTTCCAGCACTGCAGCACACTTCCAACACCAACATACTAAGAAGCAGTGGAGGGTAAATTAGGAAAAGGATCAGTTCCAAAATTGGAACCCTTCTGCCTAAGAATGTGGCAGTTCCCAGTTTACCAGTTAAAACTCTAAGCCTTTAAAAGTGTGCATTTGTTTGCAGGCAGTATGTTTTAATAACATTATTCTCTGCTCACTTTCCCTCATTCCTTTGCCTCTCTTGTTCTCAAGAACGTCATAATGGGGCTTCAATCAGCGACTCCATCATGGGCCCGGAGAGAGAAATAGTCTGTCCGGCACCGTTGGGATCTGTCCAAACTACTGATGATCTCCGGCATTTTGGATTTGTTCCAGATAATGAAGGTGAGGACACAAAAATGACTGTAGTTGCTTGTCCAAAAGGAACAACCCACACAGATAACTCAAATGTCGGACAACCCGAATAAGTAAGTCCACCAGACTGATCTGTTTTGCTTAGACAATGCCACTTGTGTTTGCTCAGACACAACAGTGAATATGTGTTCATGCAAGCATGCATCTGTATACTGTATAGACATACACATGTGTTTGTGAATGTGTTCCGACTTTGTTGGAACTTGCCCGGCATAAGTCACACATTTGTCTTCTTTATAACACATCTCTAAATAGGACGGCAGCTCATGGTTAATCCGGCCAAGCCTTGCTACAGAATTTCAGCCCACCAATATGAGTCATCCAGCATCTGAAAGGCACTTTGATGCAATCCCCAGAATTCGACTGCCACGTTGTTGGCTTATAAGGGGAAAGCACACATATTGTATATCGGCTCTCTCTTTATCCCACTATGTATGCGCAAACCTATATATATCAAGATGCATGGACAAAGCATCATTTTGCGGGGGCTGTGCTGAAGGTAAAGACAGCATCTCTGCTTTGTTGCCTTTCTTAATCCAGAGCAAGCCTATGTGGGCCAAGTATGGTTAGGGAGGCCTAAATTTTCCCGCATGGCCATTTTCCATATTAACTCCCTCTCTGTGCAGCAACAAAAAAGATAGGAGTGTAAGGGAGTCCACATCATTCCACAGATAGGTCTATGTGAGATACCTAAGGTACAGCAGACCCCCCCCCAAAAAAAGGACAGTGAAGGGGTTGAGGCAAAATGGTAGTGGAAATCAGCTAGAATCTCGAGACCCCCCCCCCAAAAAAAAAAAGGGACAGTGAAGGGGTTGAGGCAAATTGGTAGTGGAAATCAGTTAGAATCTCAAGGGACTGTCCCTGACAACAGTATAAAATTACACCCCTTCTTGGGTGGGGAGAGAAGGGAGTTTAAATTAAACCACCTGTTTCTTGGAATAGGGGAAACTTTTTCTCATTTTAATATCAGATTGCGCTGAGCAAAGATTTCTGCCACAGTCTTGAGGGATAGTGGTGCAGTGCAGAATACCGAATGGGAGGGAGACGGTGAAAATATATTTTCAGGATTTGGAACTGTGTTTTAGCAGGATCTTGGGGCAGAGTTTTTGTTCGTAGGTCTCTCCCTTCCCCAAATCTGAAGGATGAGTTGTTAAAGCCCTGCTCAAGAAACGCTTGGCCACACTCATTAGAGGATGGAGAGGCTGGGGTGGAGGGCTTTAATCAGCGCCTATAATGCTGCAGTCCAGGATTTGTTCTGCTTCCTGTCTCAAGCCGTGAGATGGCACAGCTTGAGCAATTAATTCTCAAGACTTTGGCTGTATCTGACGGATTACAGTAATAGCCTGGTTCATTAATGCTTGGCTTTGCCTTTGTACTGCTCTTAGAACAAATGACCGTATATTTAGGCAGCTCTCAGTCCCCAGAAGCTGGATTGCCAATACAAGCTAGGCATGAGCCCATCTCAAAAGGCCACGGTATCCTCCAGTTAGTTCCATGACACTCTGACACAGCCAGGTTGGATAGAGAATGGTGCGATTTTCTGGCTGTGTGACATAGCATGCTACTGTATTTGAAAATAAGTTGCAGTTTGCTGCAAAATTGGAACTGGTGAATTTGAGGTATTTTTCAATGATCACATGACACAAAGGTCAATGCAGATCATACCCCATCCTCTTTCCCTTCCAATCCAGATTTTTCTCCCTTGCTGTTGGGGGCTTCTATTTTTCTTTTCTTAACACAGCAGTTCAAACAGTGCTTTTCCTGTGTGATTTCATTCTATAAAAGGATTAGGGAGTATGATTTGGGGTGGTTTCCTAGTGACATAGTAATTTAAGGCATGATGTTTTGGAACAACAGGAACACCCACTCCTGCAGTCTTTCTCCCTCATCATCCCAATGTGTTGTTTTGTTTATTTTTTAAAAACAAACTATTCAGCCTAGTGCTAGATCATCTTATCACCACTTTACAACACTATTGTAAGCACTGAATCACTTGTGCACATACAAAAAAAGTGGTTAAAAGGATATAAAATTGAAACAATTCAACTGAAGCAGACTACAGTGTTTCCATGGTATGTATACATGTTTGTACAGTACATGTATGGAGAATTTTGGAATATTATCCTTTTCCCCCTCTTGCTGTGTAACCCTTTAAACAATCCCAGAGGCTCGACAGCAGATCATAAAAGAAGATCCAGGGATTGACAGGAGAGCAGGATCAAGGAAGGGAGGCTGTAGCCATGGATGAAACTGCATCAAATTAACGGGCCAGGGTGGACACGGGCACCAAAACAACCCGGGGTCTTTGTGTGGTCACCAAAATTGAATGCAATCACAAAAGAGACTGCAAATCAAGCTGATGCAAAGCCAAATTGCTCTGATTTGGCTTGCCAATACAGTTGCACCCTAAAAGAGTTTAGCTTTTAGTTCAAATGTTTCCTCAGCCATGAACTCACTGGATGTCCTCAGGCAAAACATTTAGGCTTCAAGCCCTTGTCTGCCACATTTGAATAGTGCTATTGAGCAACCTTACAAGATTCTTATCAGGATTACCAATATAACATAAAATTGCTCTCAAGAGAGGCCAGATCCTAATTATAGAGCAGGAAAATGCTAGACCTACATCCCAATGGGGCAATATTACACTCCAGACAGGAAATGTTTAATTTTGTATAAGAACCGGTGTGGTGCAGGGGTTAGAGTAATGGACTAGGATTTGGGAGATCCTGGTTTGAAGCTCCCTGGGTTACTCTGAACCAGTCACTGCCTCCCTGCATGACCAGCCTCACAGGGTTGTTGTGTGAGAGACTGCAGGAGGAGGGGAGCCATGAGTCCTACCTTGAGCTCCTTTGAGAAAAGTCTGGATAGAAATGCAATAATAAATAACAATTATTGGATAATAAATATGAACACTGGAATATGGCGAATAATCATATACTCCATGTGTGTGCTTGCAAACAGATGTGGCAACCTGCCTATTTTCCAGAGCCATTGTCACTGTAATCGGTCATAAAGCAGCGAGGATAAATATTGTTTCTGACTTTGCCAAAGAGAACTGCTGGATAGCTCAGTGTCTGGCTGTGGAGCCAGAGGTTGAGAGTTCAGTTCCCCACTGTGTCTCCTTGACTGGGGCTGGAATCGATGATCCATAGGGTCCCTTCCAGCTCTGCAGTTCTAAGATTCTGATTTAAATCCCATGCATCTATTACTTAGGGACATGGTGGTGCTGCGGGCTGAACCGCAGAAGCCTTTGTGTGCTGCAGGGTCAGAATACCAAGCAGTCGTAAGATTGAATCCACGCGACGGAGTGAGCTCCCGTCGCTTTGTCCCAGCTCCTTGCCAACCTAACAGTTCGAAAGCGTGTAAATGCAAGTAGACAGCCATGTATAGGCGCGCTGACGTCAAGGGGAACCTTTACCTTTACCCATCTATTACTGCTTATGGGATCCATATCCATGAGTGTCCTCCAACTTGCTTCCAGGGTCTCCTGTCCTCACTTGTAAGTTTGCAGCCACAACTGCACCCACTATCCAATTTCTACCTTTGAGTGAAGACAGCTACAACCACTAAAGAAGAGGGAGCACTCTGAAAGAGCTGCTCTCCTGCCCAGGATAAATAGAGTTTTAGTGTCTTGCAGTGAGATTTGAATGGAATTTCACAGTTTTAGGACCATGGTATATTGTCCTAGCAAGTGTACATTTGCTAAATATGTTTGCTGACAATGGTAGCCATGTAGAGCAGGGAGTGGAGCTTTATATGGAGAGGTCGATGGATGCCAGGGTTTTAATGGCTTCTGCCTCTCACTCATATTCCCTCAATCCTACTCTTCACAACTTTTCTTCTTATTAAAGTATATTTTATGTCTAGGGGGCTAACTGAGAAGAAGGCAGTTAGGGTTGGGTGGACTCTGGCTACCCAGAAGAACGAGCCACTGAGGGAGAAATTAGGAGCCCCCACAGATCCTCATGTGATCAGTAACAAGAGTCAGGGGTGATCATGTTATCAGTTTTTTTAAAAAAAAAAATCCCTTGTATCGAACCGTCGTCCTTCCAGAGCAAACCCTGAAGTATTTGTCCATGTAGCTGCACCCAGGGTTGGCTACGGAACTTGGACTCCCTGAATTTCTCAGACATTCCTGCCTTTCTCACACTTTCCTAGTGGAACTACAGCCTTCCTTCCTAATTGCGACTATAATTGGGAAGTACACTAGGCACCAGTTTGGACATGGTTTATTTTAAGGACAAATTTTCTTTTCCTTTAGCAGGAGCTCTTTGGGAGTCTTATTTGACAGTAAAAATAAATTTCATTATGCTTTTTACCCTTGTCCACTTTTTAGTCAGAATATACTTCAAGCTCAATTTCCATTAATGAATGTCGTCTAATTTTCCATGCTCCAGAGCATCTACCCTTGAGCTCATGGCAAACAATTAACATTTAATTAAGTCTTCACAGCAGGGCTCCCTCAAATCCAGCTCCAGTGGCAGCATATTTACACAAAACCTCTTTCTCTGCTTCAATTCTATTTAATTATGGTTATCTTCATCCACACTCCTGGGGTTGCAAATAGTTCCATTGAGATAAACGGGAGCTGGCTAAACAATGTAATCCTGAGGCTGATAAAGCACATAGCATCAGGGCATTTACATACTTTGTTTTCCAAATATAGCTTATTTACCAACTTCGAAGAGATCAGTAGCTGTAATGGGCTCCCGTCGCTTTGTCCCACCCCCCTTTCAGATACGCTATCTTCCCCCCTTTGAGTTGATAGGCTTCAGGTATTCCTCATTCTGTATGGGAAGGTCACATTTGTGTAATAAGAGAATACAGTCTTATAATCTGCTGCTTAGTACCCCTGAGGAAGCAGCAGCAGCAATAAAAACAACAAAAACACCCCCTAAAGGCCCAGAATCCCCTCATCTCCTGGTGCTCTGAATTGGCCCCAGCCTTTTGTGGTAGTCTCTCTTCTGAAGAACTTTTGGCAAGTCAAGGCCTCTTTCCCAACTCTTGTTATCTAAAGGCTCTTTAATTCAGGACTCGGGGATTTGTCTTTGTCCATAGACAAAGTGTGTGCAGTGCTCCTAGCAGGGAAGAGGGGTGTGTGGTCCCTCCTTTGGGCAACAGACTGAAGCCTAAATGAAGCGTCACCTCACGTTGTGTAAGAAGGCCAAGGACATTAACCAAGCTTTGGTGACTGGAGAAGGGCCTGATTTGTGATGTGCTGCAGAGTTGTGTACAAACTCTTTAAGAGTCCAGTCCAGAAGTCCCCAGTGCTTGCCAGGCCCCAGGTATTCTCCCCATGACACTGTATTTCATTCTCAGGGTCTCTGGCTGAGGCCCCGAAATCTCAGGGGACGGGATGGTGCTGATCTTGTATTCTAGCGCTTGCCTGGCTCCGTTCCTTCTTGGAGGACCGTCCCCAGAGAGTACAGCTTGGATAGAGTGTCTCGGCCCTCTGGAGCCTCAACTGTGGGGTCCTGCAGGGGTCGATCATCTCTCGAATGCTGTTTAACATCTACATGAGGCTGCTGGGTGGGGTCATCAGGCGGTGTGGGGCATCGTGTCACCAGTATGCTGATGACACACAGCTCTACATCTCCTTTTCATCTACCTCA